GAGAGAGAGAGAGAGAGAGAGAGAGAGAGAGAGAACCTGTGGAGGGTTTATAATTGCACAAAAATGATCCACAGGAAACATCCCCAAGTTTGAAATGCTGCACAAGGACAGAAGTATCTATGATACTTTAGGAAAAAATGGCTAATCGATGATACATACTGAAATCACCCGGTAGATGTTGTCACCTGAAAGTGCCACCTTGAAACTCATTTGGCTTAAGCTTTCCCACCCGTGCCTTTTCAGCAAGTTCCTTGACCTTTAGAGAACAGATAAACACAGAAGAAAAGATAAAAGTGCAAATTAGATCATAACTCTAGTGGATGGGGTTCAATATTCATGAAAAGCAGGGGTTGAACCATGTTACGGAACTAAGACAACAATTTTCATGAAAAGCCGGGGTTGAACCATGTTACAGAACATATGAGTTTAGTTCAAAGGGCAAGATATTTAAACTATGAAAAGGGGTACAAAAAAGGTCACGACATTCAAAATGAAACTAAAAGCACTTCAAACTTTGTCTTTGCGCACCTCTAGGGAAATTGATGATATGGATTTCTGATCTGCATTCCTGATAATTGGAGTCATCAAGCCCTGAATTTCAGAGAAGATAATGAGATCAATGCCAGTTATAATATTAAGAAACAGAATATGAATCTCATGAAATACCTTCTCTGTAGCAACTGCTATGGATATGTCAACTGAATCACTTAAAATTATTTCGCCCTTTGCAGCATCCCAGTAAGCTGCATATTTTAGTCAACTTTGTTCAGCATGGCATATAAAAAGAGGAGCAAAAGTCGAAGCATCATTAACACTCAACAGATGAATCGTCTATACTCATATTTATAAACTCCGTAAAAGCTGTTGCATAAAAAAAAATGAGAAATATAAATTCAGCAAGCTGAATTCCACACAGCATAGTAACAACTCTACATCTGATGACATGAAAAATTTGGAGTCTAAGAGCAGAGACATAAATGTGAACTACAGAATTAACACAGGTGTTCTGATAGTAATGGTTCTTGATGAATAAAGCAGGCATTGTTTAAGCACTAAATTATAGCAGGGCAGGTGTAACCAGTAAGCAGTTGAGGGTTCATTCTTTGCATGTTATAATTCAGATATTGTATTGACACTTTTAGGAGTCCAATCGTCAAATTAGCAAGAATATATGGGTGAAAGCAGCTCTGAAGCATAATTAAACTTTATAGGGCATAGCATATTTCAGATTCAATAATGGCATGACTCAGCAGAAGAAGAGCCGCTCAAGAAATTCCAGCAAAACAATCTCTCATGTTGTTCGCATCTTAGCCTATGTTTGGCCCCCATTTTTCCAAAAACTCATTTTTTTCGAAACTCATTTTCAACCACACATTCTCCAATAAAATAATTTCACACAAATCCAAAACTTTTCCTTATTTTTTAACCACACATTCTCCAACAAAATATTATTCAAAAATGCATTTTGGCCCAAAAAAGGGGCTCAAACTAGGGCTTAATAATTCATTAAATTCAGTGCTATTCGATCCCCAGTGAACATGGGGAACGAAGGATGAAATACAATCGAATCCTCCATTTTAAGTGGTTCTCGCTTCTCTTTCTTCCTGTTTCTAACTCTTATCCAGGCAGTTCCCAATATTTGGCTATTATTAGATCTTTTAGCTTATTAGAGGACAGGAGGTTAACAAGCTTGCAGTATCACTTGGTAATTAGAATTGTTCGTTGGGAAACCCAAAATCTTCCTAGATTTTTAACGTAGAACCTAGTAGATCTTAGCTGTAAACAGTTCCAACAGAAAGAAATCTGAAAATTTTTAGTCATGCCCCAACAATTATTTAATATAACTCAGTTTCATGTTGCAAATCATTTTACAGGTGATCAATATTTGGTCCAGTATATCAAAAATCAATGCATCTTACCATTTGCTTCTGGTACATTTCTCAATGCAATAGCAACAGCTTTGATGACAATGTCATTCACTGAGACTTTAAGATCATATTTTGCTGGGGAAAAAAATGTGATTGAACTTATATTAGTGCTTTGAGGAGAGGAAGGTAATAAATTAGAGATGAAATCACATACCTTTAAGCTCCTTCCTAAAGGAGAGAAGAGGATCCAGTATAACATCTGAATAGAAACCGTTAACATGAGTATAGACAGGTAATTAGATTTAGAGTGCTAAAAGTACAAAAATCTTGGGAAGTTTAAGACCTGTGGACAAATATAAATGAGGTATAGATTGTTTTGATTCCAACAACCGTGTTGCTATCACCTGGAAAACAGTTACCAAATATGTGTCTTATGTTAAACATTTTAGTAGACAATAAGACTACCAACGAAAATCATCACAAACAGTGATATGCATATCTGCAAAACCTGATCATAATACAAACATATATATCAAAGACAAAGAAAAGCCTCGAAAACATAGACATAAATCAAGAATCAGGCATAGATCACTTAGCTTCCCAAGTTAGAATCAAGTGTGATATCCTGTTTTGAAGACCAAACACGGACAACAGAGCAGTTTAAGGAGTTGTTTTACTTAACATTGTACACTTGGTTTAATGCTGTGGCTTCTAGGCATATAGATGGACTGCCTAATTTCAAGTTGTTTCTTTCTGATTTGTATTGATGATACACACCATGTGTATTGAGTTTTGATTTATAAAATATTTGATTACTTTTCAAAAAAAATAAAAATTGATAAACAGACACAATGCTAATCATTAGAAGTATGTATTACACATGGATGAACAAACAAACTAATGGGGGATGAAGTTCTCATGGTGGATGCCATTGGTTTTTTACACAGCTTCATTTGAAGAAACTGAATTGAAGGATCTACAGAAATGATTAGAAGAAGCCTATGAAAGAAATCAAGGGGATTTGAAACAAGAAAAGTGCACATAAACTGCAAATTTACCAAATGATGAAGGTTTATAGCACTAACTGTAAATGATGCTTCCTGATTCACAGGAAAACAAGGAATTGATGAAAATAATCATTAAACAGCATTGTAGTTTTAAATAATTATTTTGTCAAGAGGTGCTTTGAATTGTGTATTATTTCAAAAACCAAAAGAAATCTTCCACAAGTTCATATCATAGTTGTGCTGTATGATATCAATGGCAAATAAATATACGCTGATTGAGTGAATGAGGTGCAAATGGTAATAGGTTTGACATATAGAAGCACTAGTAACACTCAACTTCTGAGAGTTATCTTCTGTTAGGATCATCGTAAAGAACATGTATAATTAAAATTCCTAAAAGCTCGATTTTATCCGCCCACGGGTGAATCTAAAGCCAATCCTCTGAAAGTGTGAAATGTTAATGAAATCATGAACTCTAGGTACGCGTATAAGGGTTTGGATGTTTGTTGGCATCTTCTATTTCTTATTGAAAAGTTCTAGCATATATATATTAGAATCGCTTTCTGTTTCAATTGAATATATGAAAGGTGCATGGAAAAGCTGAGTGATATAGATAATACCCAAACAGACATAAAGATCACATTTAGACATTTCATTGTCTTCCTTTTTTCCTTGCAGCTGTGTAGCATAATACAGCCACAAAGTGGATCTTTTCAGATCATTTTACAACTGGAATCCGTTCGCATAAGAAGATTACAGGAGCGTCTTTGACAATGTTTTGATAAATCCATGCCTTTGTTCATCATACCCACATTTACCCACGGGCTTCACTGTTACCATATATTGCATTCAATTCAAGCAAGGTCATTTCTACAATGTCCTCTCATCTTCAACTCACATGACCACTCGTTTACTATTCTTTTCCTCATCTACTGTAAAGTTACCACAACTCAATGACCTAGCTATACTCTCATTTTTGCTTGCAATTCATCCATCTTCACAATACAATGCAAATATACTTTGGAGGAGTTGTTACTTTCATACAAGCATTTTATAGATAATTATACAAATCAATATACAGTTTTAATAAGAAAGCCACTTTTTAAGAAGGCACTAATGTATTTGACACCAATTATTCATCCAACCGTCCATAAAAGAATTATGAGGGAGAATAAAAAAGAAGTCATAGCAACTTCAACAAATAAAAAATACCTTTCGGATTTGAGTATTAGGCAAATCTTCATGAGCCTCTGTCCGTTGTACATCAGATTTTGATCCTAATGACATCGAGGAAGAAGTCGACGGCTGGGGTGAAGATAATGGAGAAATTTTCTTCTCAGGTTCAGAGATTCTGGCTGATCCTTTGCCAGACTTTATTGCAGATAAAACATCCCCCTTCAACAAAGTTCCGCGAGGACCAGATGCTGTTATAGATGATGCATCCAGCCCATGTTCTGTGATTAGTAACTTTGCAGCTGGACTAATTCGAGTGAAACTCGTTTGAGTTTTTATTTCCTTGGTAGTACTACGTTGGATAGGTTTTTCTTCTTTGACACCCATACCACCACTAACAGATGTTTTTACAGCTTCGATGTCATTAGGATCCTCAACCTTGAGGGATAGATTACATTAGTTCGCCCCAGAAGAAGAGATTAAAACACTAAAAGTAATTATAAGAATACAATATAACTTTCAGGCATAAAAGAACTAGCAATAATCAGCAATATAGAAATTGCACCTTCTAACTTCCAGAAATGAAAGAACTACGAGTATTCCCTAACCCAACATGGAAGATTGAACCTTCAATTATCGAGAAAAGAGAAGGAATGGCTGGTACAAGTTCAAACATCAAAACTTACAGTTATTGCAATGGGCTGTCCCACAGCTACCTCCTTTGAGCCTTCAGGAGCTATTATTTTGGCCAAGAACCTGCACCCAATATACCAATTACATAATCGCACCCAACAGTTGGTCCTAAAAGGCAAAACTGAACTAATTCTAATAACTTTCTAATGAAATGCACCATAATTATCAAAAAGGTTAACACCCAAGGCTACAAGATAGAATCAAGATCATAATATTATTAGTTTCAATGTTTTCTATGTTACTATTTACGGTCCTCCTGTTAGTCACAGCATCATCACATGACATGGTAAAAAATATGAGTATTGTGGAGATCTTGACTGTATATGAAATCATTCAATAACATGCATTTCAAAGTTAGAAAGAAAAATATTACCCCTCTTCAAGGCTTTCAAATTCAAGGGTAGCTTTGTCTGTTTCTATTTCACAAATAACATCACCCACCTCAATCTGCAACAAGTAAAAAAAGTTGAGAAGAACAAAGAAATAATCACCATAAAGCAGCACACATGAGAAATATCCCACTGACAAATTTACATCCTCGTAAAATTCGGAACCAACCTTATCGCCTTCCTTTTTCCTCCATTTGGCAATATTACCCTGATTCTGTAGGCAAACAAAGAGCAACACTCTTGAGCAGCAAGTAGTACAGTGAAGAAAAATATGACAGCATAACATTTATCTCAAGTCGGTTGCAGTTTGTTCAGACCATGGTTGGGGATAGTGCTGGCATGTTGAGAACAATGTGAGAAGGAAGTTCAGATGTCTTAATGTTCACAGAACTTGATTCCTGTTCACCGTCTTCTTGTTTGATATTTTGTTTATTATCTTTAACTTCTGATCCACTAACAGCAGCAGGAACATTAGCTATATCATCTGAATCCTCGACCTAATTAAACCAGTCGAAATCAAATTACAAGATGATGCTCATAACATCCAACTGAATCAAATCAATCAAAGGATGGACTAAAAATGTGGCAATAATTAATGTAATAATTTGGGGGGAAGGGGAGGGGGGAATCTGATGATAATTAATGTAATGATTTAGAGTAGAGTAAAAATAGGAACTCTATAAATCTAATAATGAGAAGCTTTCCTTTAATCTATAGCTTCGTATTTGAAAATGTAGTATGATTGTGTGAAAAATGGTACGAGTGTTACTGTACACAAGATATGGGCATAACAAAAAGAATAAAGATACTAATACTTGAGGTATATTGCACATATACCGTAATTGCTATAGGCTGTCCCACAGGCACATCCTTTGAACCTTCAGGAACTAGTATCTTGGCCAGAAACCTGTGGATTATGCTCCCACAAAGCATCACATCAAAACCATTAAAAATCATGGTGATTTAAAATGTGCATTTGATTGGGTGGATAAAGCTACATAAATAGGGAGATTAGAGACTAAATTTGTGCATGGAACGATGACTTAACGCACGAGAATGTACTAATATAATAGCATAAAAACAGAAGAAGAATCTAAGCAATGTAGTGCTTACTCAAGGAAATGTCCCTATTGTCGAGGGGTAAAATTTTAAACATGATATTCTTGACTGTATCTTAATCTAATGATCATTGCAATTTTCTCATGGAAATCACAGCTGAGCCCATTCTAAAGCAGACTCAAAAATAGAATTTACCCTTCTTCAAGACATTCAAACTCAAGGGTAGCTTTGTCCGTCTCTATTTCACATATCACATCCCCCACTTCTATCTGTTAGATCCAATAAAAGTCCACACAAATTAGAAATCATCAAAATTTGGGTATCTTTCTTCCAAGTAGACAAATACTTTTTCGCAGTTATGTTTAAATGGTATCATATGTAAAGATAAAAAGTCATCCTGTCCCCATTCAAAAATAACTACTTAATGCAACTGACCTTATCTCCCTCTTTCTTCCACCACTTTGCAATGTTACCTTGAGTCTGCAAGGAAATGAACAGGCACGTGAAAGGTTTTAATCATGGTGCCAATGGAATTTTGTCCTGTAAAAGGTCCCAATATGTTTCCAGATTAATGTTCATATTTTCTTACCATTGTAGGAGACAAAGCTGGCATCTGAATCACTAAATGAGGTGGTTCTGCAATAACATCACATTTTATGATAAGCTCAATAGGTTAAGTCAAATAAAATGTTAGAATGTGTATCTGTCATTTCTCAATTTACTGAGTTAGTATATCGATACTAAAGTTTCAAGGGCTAACTGCTTTCACTTGGAAATCATTAAAAGAAAGTTGAGAAGAACTCAATCGGCCTCACAGAGATCAAACAAACAAACAATTCAATTCCGTAGAAGGTCAAGCAAAACCAGGAAATTGGGTGGGAAGGTCTTACAGAACCAAAGTCATTTAGGTCAGCAGGGCCTAGTTAAGTCTAATAGAAAAAAGTCATTCAGGTAGATTTGGGCTCTCAGGCCCAATCAACAAACTAAACTCAAAAGAATAATGCTATTCATCCCTACTGGTGCTAGAGCACTAGTCTCGGTAGCTATATTTTATTTGTTTAATTAAATGAGTCATATGACTTTGTATTTAAATGAGTTCACACTGTCGAACCTCCCTACTTATTTTTTGTTATTGTTTCATATTCCTATTGTAGTGGCAAAAAGATTAGAAAGGATTCAAAGGGAGTTTCTTTTGGGAGGATTAGGAGATGAAAGGAAATTACATTTGGTTAACTGGGGTGTAGTTTGTTCTCCCATAAGGTTGGGGAGTCTCGGACTGAGAAGCCTCGCATTGTTCAATAAGGCATTGTTGGGTAAGTGGTTGTAGCGATTCAGAGTCGAAAGTGAGTTTTTGGAGAAAAATTATGGGAGCAAAATATGGTGTTATGGAGGGGGAAGGTGCTCAGTCGAGAGTCGTGATTCTTATACAGTGAGTTTGTAGCGGTATATCCAACGAGGGTGGAGCGATTATTGGAATAGATTGACTTTTGTGGTGGGAAATGGTAATACTATTAGTTTTTGGGATGATTGTTGGTGTGAAGATCAACTGCTAAGGGTGAGATTTCCTTCTTTGTATCGTATTGCGTTGGTGTCGTCCGCTATGATGAATGATGCCTTAAATATACATAACGGGAGTCTCAGTTGGAACATTATTTTTAGGCGGAGTTTGCAGGACTGAGAATTGGATGATTATGCATTGCTTTTGACATCTTTGCATGAAGTGCACATCAGAGTAGGAGAGGGTGATTGTAGCAGATGGAGATTGACACGGGATTGTATCTTTTCAGTTGACACTTATTTTAGATCCTTATTGGGATATGTGGAAAATTTGTTCCCCTTAAAATGGTATGGAAATGTAAACTGCCTCAACGGGTGACATTTTTACTACGGATGATAGTTAGAGGATAAGTGTTAATGGTGGATAATCTTCGAACAAGGGATAATTACACGTGACACTAGATCCAATCATTAATTCAAATCTTCGAACAAGGGACTCTTATGTTACAGAGTAGTTGCTATATGTGTAGAAGGGATGGGGAGATGATTGACCACTTGTTCTTTCATTGTGATGTTGCTCATTTGCTGTGGAATGATATTCTGGCATCTCAACACATGGATTGGGTGTTGTCGAGGCGTATGGAAGGCGTGTTAAAGGCATGGAGGAGAAAGTTTCGCGATAAGGATAGCAAGCTTGTATGGGACCTTATTTCGAGTTACATCATATGGTGTATGGAGAGAAATAAACAGCCATTGTTTTGATAATCAAACAAGGACAACGGAGCAGATTAAAGAATAATTTTATTTGACATTGTATACTTGGTTTCATGTTGCGGCTATTAGGCATATAGACAAACTGCTCAATTTCATGTTCATTTCTGGTTTAAATTGATAATACACTTCTCTTGTATTATCATTTGATTAATAAAATATTTGATTACCTTTAAAAAAAATGACTTCACATTTAAATGAATCTATTATTTAATGTCATGTAATTGCCATCTAAACTAGTGTTTAACACCAGTGAGAATGGATAACATTACTCAACTCAAAAAGTTGAGCTCAGAATCAAAATACCCCATCTATTACTCTCTCTCTCTCTAATTTCCCATAATTATTATTTCTAACAATTACATACGCCCCCATACAGTCAGAACATCTCACTTTCACTATCTCAAGCACATTATGCTATGAGTAGATTTAAAAAGTAGAAAATTACTTCATTAAAACATTTGACTTGGATGAATTGTCAAGCAAAACCAGGAAATTGGGTAGGAAGGTCTTACAGAACCAAAGTCATTTAGGTCAGGCCTAGTTAAGTCTAATAGAAAAAAGTCATTCAGGTAGATTTGGGTTCTCAGGCCCAATCAACAAACTAAACTCAAAAGAATAATGCTATTCATCCCTACTGGTGCTAGAGCACTAGTCTCGGTAGCTATATTTTATTTGTTTAATTAAATGAGTCATATGACTTTGCATTTAAATGAGTTCACACTGTCGAACCTCCCTACTTATTTTTTGTTATTGTTTCATATTCCTATTGTAGTAGCAAAAAGATTAGAGAGGATTCAAAAGAAGTTTCTTTGGGGAGGATTGGGAGAGGAGGAAATTACATTTGGTTAACTGGGGTGTAGTTTATTCTCCCATAAGGTTGGGGAGTCTCGGACTGAGAAGCCTCGCATTCTTGAATAAGACATTGTTTGGTAAGTGATTGTAGCGATTCAGAGTGGAAAGTGAGAGTTTTTGAAGAGAAATTATGGGGGCAAAATATAGTGTTATGGAGAGGGATGGTGTTTAGTCGAGAGTCGTGGTTCTTATAGGGTGAGTTTGTGGCGATATATCCAACGAGGGTGGAGCGATTATTGGAATAGATTGACTTTTGTGGTGGGAAATGGTAATACTATTAGTTTTTAGGATGATTGTTGGTGTGGAGATCAACCGCTAAGGGTGAGATTTCCTTCTTTGTATCGTATTGCGTTGGTGCCGTCCGCTATGATGAATGATGCCTTAAATATACATAACGGGAGTCTCAGTTGGAACATTGTTTTTAGGCGGGGTTTGCAGGACTGAGAATTGGATGATTATGCGCTACTTTTGACATCTTTGCATGAAGTGCACATCAAAGTAGGAGAGAGTGATTGTAGCAGGTGGAGATTGACACGGGATGGTATCTTTTCAGTTGGCACTTATTTTAGATCCTTATTGGGATCCGTGGAAAATTTGTTCCCCTTAAAATGGTATGGAAATGTAAACTGCCTCCACGGGTGACATTTTTACTACGGATGATAGTTAGAGGATAAGTGTTAATGGTGGATAATCTTCTAACGAGGGATTTTTATGTTACAGAGTAGTTCTATATGTGTAGGAGGGATAGGGAGATGATTGACCACTCGTTCTTTCATTGTAATGTTGCTAATTTTCTGTGGAATGATATTCTAGCATCTCAACACATGGATTGGGTGTTGTCGAGGCGTATGGAAGGCGTGTTAAAGGCATGGAGGAGAAAGTTTCGCGATAAGGATAGTAAGCTTGTATGGGACCTTATTTCGAGTTGCATCATATGGTGTGTGGAGAGAAATAAGCAGCCGTTGTTTTGATGATCAAACAAGGACAACGGAGCAGAATAAAGAATAATTTTATTTGACATTGTATACTTGGTTTCATGTTGCGGCTATTAGGCATATAGACGGGCTGCTCAATTTCATGTTGTTCATTTCTGGTTTAAATTGATAATACACTTTCCTTGTATTATCCTTTGATTAATAAAATATTTGATTACCTTTAAAAAAAATGACTTTACATTTAAATGAATCTATCATTTAATGTCACGTAAATGCCATCTAAACTAGTGTTTAACACCAGTGGGGATGGATAACATTACTCAACTCAAAAAGTTGAGCTCAGAATCAAACTACCCCATCTATTACTATCTCTCTCTCCAATTTCCCATAAATATTATTTCTAACAATTACATACGCCCCCATACAGTCAGAACATCTCACTTTCACTATCTCAAGCACATTATGCTATGAGTAGATTTAAAAAGTAGAAAATTACTTCATTAAAACATTTGACTTGGATGAATGAAGGTCATGAACTTGGACATCTATAAATTGACAGTCAAATTTGAATAATTGTACACAACAATTAGTCCAAGTGCATACTAACACAACCAGACTTACAGAAAGAGAAATGGTCGAATAAACCCCCACACGAAAAGAGGCATACATAGGGAAGCATTCGTATGTCCCCCATTTGAATAGAAATATCAAGTTTAACGTTTAAGTAGATTATTAATCTCAGAACTAGTTTGTTTTATTGTAGGCATTGTTTTCAAAAGAGCCCGAGGATTAATTTTCGAAGGTCTCGCGAGAGGCATGCATGAAGAGCCTTTAAGCTTACACTTCAAGCTTACATCTCGACTTTCTAAGGAGCACCCCTCATAAAATAAGCCTAGGGCATCCACATGTGTGCTCCTTTGTCTTGGCAATTCTGGGCTTTTTGTTATTGGCCTCAGCTTTTTGTGTTGGTTTTTTCTTAATAGAGAATGTTTTAATTTTTGGGGCATTTAATAGAATTGGAAATTAGACAAGAGAACAATTGAAGAGGTATGCCCTCTGCAGTATAATGACTGGTTTTCAGCAAGAAGTTGCCAATGACGGGAGAACTACTACCAATAAATTCACTCTTTTCTTTCACATTATTCTTGATGTTTCCTTTGAGTCCTTGTTCATTTTTCTCAGGATTCTTTCCTTTAAAGACCGGAAAATTTCTGAGAGAGACAAATTTGCTCGAGTAGTTGCAATATTGAACTTAGAAAAGGTATACCTGAAGATGAATAATTTCGGACACCGCTCTGCCACTGTCAAATTCACATAATCACAGTTAGAAAAAGAACGCATTTGTGCAAGGTAAATCTCCAACGTATTTTCACCACTAACCTTCAGCTTAGAAGAAATGTTATGAACTCCATTGACCATTGGAAAAAGAGTAGGCCTGATAAACTTGCATCGTTAATAAATCAGAGGACCGGAAAAAAACAGAAAATTACAAGTCCAGCTAATTAGATATGCAGTCTCCAAACAACCAATCTGATGCCATGTACAGAGTAAATTCCACAGTTTTACTGCCAAATGAGGTAGGTATAAACAGGGTATGGTCCCAGGTTAAAGATAAAAAGTTGTTTGTGATTATATGGCAATGGATCAGTAAAGAACAGCATCAGAAACTCAAAATACTCATGCAAAAAATTCAACATCAGAAATGAAATTTTAAGTAAAATTTATATTCTCACTTTTGAGCTGCACGACCAAGATAAACAGAAGCAAAGAAATGGGCGGTAGATAAAAAGCGTGAAGATTCAAACCTTAACAAAGTGACCTCAACATCAGCATCAGAGATCAGCATCCTGGAACTACAGCATCAATAATTTGACAATAAGATATTATATGAGAAAGTTAAAGATCTTTATGCAATTTAAAAGGCATGACAGATGTTAAGAAGGTGGTGATGGAGATTACACATGGTCTTCAGTAAAAACAAAATAGAATTGCGTGAAAATGAAAAGATTTTCTTATCAAAAAGTATATTAGAACTGTATGTGAATAGCAAGGAATGTTTTGCCCCATGCCTGAAAATGCCTAATTTTAAAGCAGAAGACATAGGTAATGGACTGTTCGACTTCATGAGTGGATCGTATTTATTGCATAAGGTAATCTGCTCTCTCTATCTATCTTAAGATCAAAATTTTTGTCATTCCAGACTTATAATTGACATGAGAACTGAACAATCAATTGACTTAAACTTGTATAGTAAATTATATGCTAAATTCTCTCTACCAAATCAACTGCTTAGTACCCCAATCATTTGCCTTTACCAATCCATTACAAGAAAAGGATTCCATGACTTGATGATACAAGTTGGTATCTCCAAATCCAGAATTCAGCAAAGAAAAACTCTAGATGTATTACGAGATGGTGAAGTGGAACATCTACTTTCCATACAGTTCAGAGCTTCCTAGTACAACAGAAGCAATTTGCATGTCTGGTGTAACTTTTTCGAGTCAGTAGGATAATAACCTTATGATTTTTGAAGATTCCCTTTTCCCATCCAGATTTTCTAAAGAGATAATATCAGACACCCCCTGGGTTACAATTTCTTAAGTATTTATCAATTTACTGATGTAATGTAGA